AAAATACTCCACTGCATAGCTCTACCACATCTTATTTATCCATTCATCAGTTAATGGACGTTTGGGTTCTTTAAAACCCGCATACGTTGGGCATACGAGTTGTCTCTACTTTTTTGCCCACTGTGAATAATGCCACTATAAATGTTCATGCATAGGTGTTTGCATGGATGTGTTTTCGTTTCGCTGGAGTATATACCAAAGGGTGGGATTGCTGGGTCAAATGGTGGCTCCGTGTTTTAACATTTTGAGGAACTGCTAAACTATCCCCAAAGCGGCTGAACAATTTACATGCCCACGGGCAAGATGCGGAGGTTCCGATGTCTCCACATTCTCACCAACTCTTACTGTGTCTTTTATCATAGCCATCGTAGTGGGAGAGAGGAGGCATGTTAACATTTAAAAGCTCAGCACCTTTGAGAAACTGTTCTCTTTTCAAAGGCCGACTCCAGCCTAGATGCTGCATGCAGAGCCAGCGATGCCTGCTGGGCACTTCTTCAGTGACAGGCCTCAGGCTGGGCTAGAACCAACTCTACATGTAGCCCTCCTGCACCAGAGTCCCTTTTGTAAAAAGTTCTCTTAAGTGGAGGTCCCGGCATCTGTAGCAGGTGGCAGAGGGGACTTTAAGGGTGAGGACAGCCCCACAAATGCCTCCCTGGTGCATCATCACGACCCTCACTATAGAGACGGAAAGGGGCACAAATCTTTAGGCACGAAGGGTTAAAAAGGGAGGACCGTTCAGTGAACTATAAAAGACAGCACACAAAAGCGGACCCTTTGTGACTGAAAGCCTAGGCCCCTGGTCCAAGTCCTTGCCTCACTCCTGTCCTAGCCCCCAGAGTATGTGACGGCTGCAGGGGGCTTTTCCAGTCTCCTGACCTCCCCCGGGGGCGGGAGGGTCACAGGTACAAGACATGATCGTCAGGGCTGGGGAATAAAGCACCCGTGGCCGCCCGGAGAGCAAAGAGGAAACAGCACTTACTTGACCCCGTAGGCGAATATGGTGAGGCCGATCAGCACCCCGATGCTGCCGTCCAGGTACCAGACCGCCGAGTTGTGCTTGAACACCTCGGCGCTCAGCAGAATGGAGAAGCCCATCACGGCCCCCACGAGGGAGTTAAACCCTGGAAGAGAAGCAGAGAGGGCCTGAGGGCAGTGCCCAGTGAACTTGCTTAGCCACCAGGAAAACTACCAAAATGCCAGGCATGCCTCTGCATCCCGGAACGCGTACTGGAAGGGATGTTCCAGAAGCACTTCTCGGGTGAGAGCCACCACCTCAGACACCCACATGGTTTGACAAATCTCCGCTCACACGTCACCAGAGACCTCCCTGGAGGGAGCTGTCACCCTCACCGTCCATCCCCTGCCAGCCACCATGCCCAAGTGACAGCCTGTGTATGGCTCCTGTCGTCTTCCTCCCATGCCCCAGGGACACAGGCCTCCAGAGGGGCAGGGGCACCAGGCCTGCCAAACACACAGGGGACACTCAATACTCAGTGACTCACACCTGTCCAGTGTCTGCTGGGCAAGTACAGAGCTGGGGTCGTCTCAACTCTGAAGTCAGATTATCACCCTCGTTTTACCAATGAGAAAACTAAGTTGAGCAGAGTGAGTGAGGGTTAAGTAAACTGACCAGCGTTATACAGATTGAGAGGGGGCAGGGCTGGGATTCTACCTGAACCCGTGTGCTTTTTCTCTGCCGTGTCTCCTAAGTCACCCAAGGATTTTTCACTCTCCGGGAAAGAAATGCATAGACTAGCATTAGCTACCTGGTTGCAGAAAGGGCAGTCCAACCGGAACTGGAGCTAACAGACGTTGATCACCGTCTCCTTTCACACACGTCACCTCAGTGGGTCCCCACAACTGAGGCATCGCACTTCCAGTCTACCTGTGGATTTTCCAAGGCCACATGGGAAGGGAATGGTTTAGAGGGGCACCTGGGGTCTCGCCGTGCTGTGAGCCACAAGGCTGCTCGCCTGCCCCAGCGTAACTGGGGCCTGAGAGCAGCTGCAGGTCCACACTGCCCGGTGGTCCCCTGGCAGCTGCCCATGCAGGCCAGTAACCTCTCCGACAGCAGGCCTGCTCCGTTCCCTGGCAACTCCACCTGGGTAAAGGCGCCATGCTTCTGCTGAATAACCTTAAATGCATTCACTGTGGGCTGCACCACTGCGGGGGTGTGGGGTGTTCTAAATGAAGAGCAGAGGGACAGGAAGAAGAGTGTAGGGTAGAGATGACTTAGGCCAAGCCTTTCTCAGGATCCACGGGGTGCACCTCGACAGGCGGCCCCTCAACAATGGGACCGAGATGAAGCTGGGCCTGCAAGGACATCTCATTGCCTGTTGCATCACACCCTCAAATCTCCATCATCTCCCCACTCCAGGTCTCAGCTGAGGACTCGGCCTTGTACTTCTTCGAGCACACAGGTTCAGACACCAACACCTCATCTTCGCAACACCAAGTCCACCGCCCGCCTATGCCGGCTGCGCTCACATACTCAGCTGCTTCTCCAGTTACTGCCATTCCTATGTAAGACTGGCACCTTCATCCCTGTCCACTGAAGGGCTTTGCTCTTGAATTTCTTCTCCCTCTCCTGGGTCACTCCCACCGGGATAAGTCTTAGCATCATCACCCACCTCCACCTCCTTCCTGGACCCACCACGATCCCCATTCACTACCGCCCTTCGCAGAACTCCCTGGAGAGCTGGCTACCCCATCACACCTCCCATTCTCTCTTCACCCCGTCCCACTCAGGTCCCGCCCTCCGCCCAGCGCTGCCCTGGTCCTGGATGGCTCCCGGCTGCCACAGGCCATGCTTAACGCCTCGTCCTCACTGGACGCCCTCCTAATAAGAACACGTCTCTTCAGCCTCAAGTGACGCCGCGCTCTGCTGCTTTCCCGCTCTGCACCCTCGCTGGTCCTTCTCAGTCCCGTTTGCTAGACCCTCCTCCTGGAGCCCATCTGCATGCCTGGCTTAGTCCCCTGAACACTTCCTCTGCCATATTCTCCGGCCAGGTTCTCACCTCCATCCCATAAGCCCGCACCTCCCTAGCTCTCCTTCGTCCTGACCTTTGCCCTCAGCTGCAGACATATAAGCATCTCAAACTGAACACGCTCAGGGCAAAAACTGCTGCCTCCCAACGACTCACCCTCCGGCCACCCTCTCTGCAAACAGCGCCCCCGTCCACCTAGCTGCCGAAGCCAAACATCTAGGAGCCCAGCCTGGACTTTCCTCACATCCCGAAACTCGTCCACCCGGCAAGTCATCCTTGCCACCTGTCACCCCCCAAACACGCCCCCCGTCTACCCCCTTCCTGCTGCCCCTCCTGCCCGCATCCCCCATCCTCTCCATGATTCCCCTCGCGGCAGCCAGACCTCTGTAGCGAACAGCAGCCCGGTTCTAAAAACCATCCAGACTCTTCACGGCCGGCGAGTCCTGCGGTGACCAGCCCCTCCCTCCTCGGCCGCACCAGGCCCGCCGGTCCGCTCCTCGGCCCACGCTCCGGCCACGCCGCAGCCTGCAGCGGCCAGCCCCGGCCTCGCCCCTCGTCCTGGTGCCTCCTCCACCTGGACTCAGAGCCCCTAAGGCCGCCCCTCCCTCCCCCGGCCACACCCTCCTACCCGCGCGCCCTTGCTGCTGCTTCGCGGTTCTCCGTAACAAGACATTTTTACCATTTTTCTTTTTGCAGACATCCCTGTTTCCCACCAGAAATGTCCGCGTAAGGACAGGAGTTTTGTGTCTGTCCTTCCTCTGCTCCAAGTCCCAGCACAGGGGCTGGCACTTCTCGGGGACTCGACTGATTGCTGCATTAAATACTGAGTTAACGGACGGAGGGAGGGGGGAGGGGAAGGCATGGACCTGGCCTTAGCCGTGGACTCCCACCGGCCGGGCTGGGCCGTCCCGAGGGAGAGAGGAAGCCACCGCTGCCCAGGCTCTGGGGGCCTCCCTGCCGAGGCGGGCCTGCGGCTACAGCTCTGGGGAGACAGCCCCCCGAGAGGTGGAGGATTTACCCCTGAACTTCAGGGTGTGGTCTGGGGCCCCCTGGAGAGCCAACCTTCCCCACTCGCTTCCCAAGGCTTTTCCACAAGCTTCACACCCGGCGGAGCCTTCCAACCCAGTTTCACCTCAATACAGGTGACACGGGTTAGCAAAGGCAAACCCCTCCACCTTCCTGCCACCGGGGACCATATCCTCCAGACGCCAGTCCAGGGAACTGGGTGGAGAGAGGGGCCGGGACTTGCTGGGAGCCTGCGGCGGGTGAGGGCTATTCCAGGCGGGGCCTCCACCTGCCCTGCCGTGTCTACCTGGGGATCCCGACCCACCGTCTGCAGGGAGCACTTGTACCCCTCCCCCAAGGCCTCCACTGCAGACAGCAGACCTGACAAAGAGCTTTCTCTGGGTGCCCTGTGGGTAGCGGGAGGGCAGGGCTGGCATCAGCTTCACCTGAGATGTGTCCCACCAGTACCAGGTCCCAAGGCCAAATCTCTAAGCCTTCCACCTTCGACCGACAGGAGACAGGCGCCCTTCCCCGTGCTACGTCCTGGCCTCCCCTTCTCAGGGCCGCCCGGGGACAAGGCTGCAACCCAGGCCCCTGTGGTGTTAGTTTCCGTGGCTCCTCCGAGCTCGCTCACCTCTGGACGATGGGGAAAAGCAGTCAGCGTGCTCCCCTTCTCTGTTGGCCGTGCGGCTCATGTAGCTGACTCCACTCCGCCCTTGTCACCGCAGAGTCTCTCCCAGCTCCTCGCACGCAGAGCGCTTTGGAGCTCCCCACTCTCTGTCCTGCCCATGGTTTGGGCCTCTGCATATCACACCCTCAATTCTGCTTCCATCTCTCCCCAAGGAGGGGGACGGCGGGCCCGCTCTGAGACGGGGGAGGCCGTATTTCTCTCGTCTCTTGATACATCAGGATCATCAAGATACTTCCCCTCTCCCATTAGTAGAGGCTGGCATTTACCCTCTTGCGTCCGGCTGTCCCTCGAATCTCCCTGTTCTTTTCAACAAATGGAATCAGACCAGTCCTCTTAAAAGAAGTCTCTGCAGCCCACGCCTTTTCTCAGAAGGCCACCAAAAGCGTCCTCAGAGACCACTACCCTGTCAAGGGGCTACCTGGGCTGGAGTTTACCTCTCAGGCCTCAAGTTGGGGGAATTCTGTTTTGGGGGGTGGCTACAGGAAAAAGGCAGAGACGAGCTGGAGATGGCTGCTGCCCCAGGGCAGACTGGAATCCTTCATTCTTCTTTCCCCGTCTTTGCCGTGGGTACCAGTGGGCCCCCGGGGCCCCCAGAGAAGCCCGGAGGAGCTCAGAAAGGCTGCAGAGGGTGGGAGGTTCCCCCAGACAGCCACTAGATGTCCACTCACTCCACCAAGTCACCGGGCTCTGCCAGCCCAGCACCCACCAGCCTCTCCTTTCCACAGTGGGGGGACCCACCCACCCCATGCAGACTCCGGATGGTTCACAGCTGGTGGAAACTTTCACCCTGTTCACCCACACCTTCCAGGAGTCTCTGACCTGCTCCGCTCTGCCCACCTGTGGTTGTGACGGAGCCTGACTCATTTCAGCTGCACCTCTTATGAGCCTGTGCGGGGACACTGGAAACGGCACACCCGGACTGGGGGACGACTCCGTACCCACCCTGCGGCCCTCCTTCAGAATTTTAGAGGCTTCCTAGCGGCAGCTACTCCCCAGGAAGGACACTGAGCCCACAGGCCACCCATCTTCCTAACGAGGCACACAAGGCCCCATCGGTCACTCACCTCTGGGCCGCTGTCCGCACCCCACCCAGGCCCACATGCTTGTTCCATCTGCCTGTTAAAGCCAGGGCTCTTGCCAAAAATAAACGCCGTCATCATCTTAGAAAACAAAACAATGTCTCGGGCGATCTGGATTAGAGGCTCTAACAGTCTGGCGTTGATGACTAGACAAGAATCTGTGTAACGAAGCACCTATTAATTGTATGCAGGAAATTCTGATTCAAAGTCGTTCATGGACTTGAAATCCACCACAGACTCTTGATACTTTAGAACAGCCAACCCAGGCCCCTCAACTCGGGTTTCCGGCTGTCCTGCGGGCAGCGCTGGAGCCCGGCTGCTGGCCCCTCGTTCAGAACTCCCCCCGGGTACCTTTGCACAATCTTCCTCTGTCTGATTTGTAGTATTAACTTGCCTGGCCCCCTGCCCTGGGCCAGACCAACAGTAACGGCAGGCATGGCTCCCGAAGCCCAGGCGGGCCCCGACCTCCCCACGTGAGGGAAGAACAGAGAGCAGAAACTTACAGATGGTTCCCTACTTCTGCTCATCAATGAATGAGGAAAATCGGGATCCCAGACAAGGCAATTCGCAGGAGGCTGTAATTACTGCCGCCTATTTAGCTGACACTCCCACCAAGCGGGGGACTGCAGAGTGCGACAACCATGCCCCCTGATGGCGGGGAGGGGGCCCTCACGGGTGACAGCCTAGGGGACCGGGGTGCTGCCTCAGCTCTTTGCAATAGTGCCCTCTCTGTCTTGCTCTGCCGGCCTGTCTCTCCTCAACCTCCACAGCCAATTCATCCCCAAGCCCTGCCCATGTTATAAATATCGCCAACCCTTCTTCTCCCATTCCCCCATATCTCCCCCTCCCCGACCCAGGCCACCACCCCGAGAGCTCCCCTCCCTGAGTCCTCTCCGCTCCGTTCTCTACCTTGATGGCCACAAGTCTCCTTTAAAAACATCCATCATGTCACCTCGTCTGTTTAAACATTTAGCAAAACATCCAAAATCCCACCCTTGACCTAACGTGCTGAATGGTCCGCCCTCGCCCACGCGTCGGGGCCCCTCATATCCTCCCTTCCTAACTCTCCCCCCGCAGATGCCCCAGGCTCCCTTTTCCGCCTGTCGGTGGAACAATTTTCACTTAAACCACCCACTTCTCTCTGTAATGACCCCTCTCCCTGGGTCAAGAGTAGGACGGAAGTACTGCTTATGCAGGTGGATGGTTTTGTATGTGAAAATGATGACATCAGGAGTTATTTCATTAGAAAACACATACTTCTCATCAGGGGCTTCTCTTACATCACACAAAATGGCGGGACGTTAGAACGAGAGAAGCCTGAAGAGAAACAGCATCTGGAACGCCTGTAAGGCGTTAGGTGAAGTCACCGGTCGAGGGAGGGGCACCCACGGTTCTGAGAAGAAGGGGCTCAAGCCCCGTGGTCATGGGTAGAGAGGGGACAGGGCCTCCTGCCTGGCGGCCTGGGAGGAAGGCGTGACTGCTGGGTCCACGTTCAGGCTCCCGGCCCAGTGTCTCAGCTGCAGTCATCTGAATACAGAAAGTGCTGGTATCTGTAAGTCAGAGGGGCTCTCTGACTTACGGGATCAACTCAGGGCAGACAGAGGAGCGCCTGCTGGGTACTCACCACCCGGAGCCCCGAAAACTGTGCTGACTGGTACAGCTTCCCCCAGGCCGGCCTTCCCGTCCCTCGTGTGCAGGTAAAGAGACTTCGAAAGGAAGGAACAGTACACGTCGCTGGAGATTCAAGGTCCAGCCAGACCTCTGCTCTGTTCAGGCCTAAAGGGTGCAGGCAGAGCTGCGGCCCTCAGAGCAACAGAAAAGAACCTGGAAGGTGGCCTGGAGAACCCACACCCAAACTCCTGGTTCCTGCTCTCAGCACAAGGCCGCCTGTGCTCTCATTCCTAAAAAAAGGAGGATTCCACAGCCAAAGGAGGCGTTTTCTTTTCCAGCTTAATAAACACCAGACCACGAAAATCACACGGAGCGAACACTTCTCCCCCAGTCCTGGAAGCGTCACTTTGACCTCCTGCCTGCCTGCCCCACCGTGCAGAAGTCCAGCTCCACACACGGCAGTGCATCAGCACGGGATTAGGAGTCCAAGTCCACACCGTGTCACCATGCTCGTCACTTGGGAGAGAAGGGCCCCCTCTGACCGCCGTCC